ATTAGCCATAAAGTGACGATACCACAAGGGCCCGAGTACTCCAGTTTACAGAACGGCAGTAAACATAGTAACCTGAGTATGGAGGATACTTAAGGATGTGTCCGTCAAGTGAAAAGCTAATTTGCGTTTTCATGTGCTACCAAAACAACCCCCGTTTCCTCACCAAATGCTTCAAGCCCCCCACCTCTCCTTTGCCCATTGTGAAGCCATCAGATAGTGGCTTCCAGAAGTCCACACCTGTCTCAGGGCTATGCAGAGGAGATGGATGCATGCATTTGGAGCATCAGATAGCCACTAGCAAGGGGTTAGTATTGATCTAACGCTTCACTGGCCCATTGTGTGAGGAGCAGCTGCTTTGGGGGGCTTTTAGATAAGCTATGCAAAGGGAGTTGTTTCTCCTAAAACCCCTTTTTTCAGTGTGTATAAATGAAAAACCATCACTTAGTTCAACACTCCATTGCTCTAGAATAAAATGTCCCTTCCCTTGACATTAAAATCAGCACATAAGCATTAAAACATCTGCCTTTGAGGTATTAGAAAGAGCATTGTAGATTACATGATGATGTGCAACTCTGGATTCTCTGTTAGTCTCTAGAGTGAAAATGAAATCCTTTCAGTGTTTCACAACTGTCCATTCCGTTCCGCTCACAGAAACTGTCATCAAATGAGGCAGTTAGAGTGAGATGGAGCAAACGGCACGGCGGGGGGATAATGCTGGTCTGTTTCTGTGTGCCACAGCAATGAGACTGTCCTGTCGATGACTCACTGGCTGCATGGACGACATCAGCACCTCGTTCTCAGGCAATAATGAGCCATGCTAATGAGCAGGACAGCCACCCCAATCCTCATCAGTCTTATGATTCATGTCAACCTGAAATGATCAAATGAAGAGAATAACAGGGTGAAGCCAGCTGGACGGGGGGACTTTAATAGATAAAAGTGTTTAATATCACTGTCACTTATCAATATGTGTTATAAAATATATTGTAGAGCAGGATGCCTTTTAGACAAAGAGTAAAATTAGAGGAATGAATGTTCAAGGACTCCTAGCATGACTCACCTCAATACTCCATGAACTCTCAGCTACCACACCAAAGTTTAGCTCAATATTTGTAAAATTGACCAAGTTAAAGCCGTTTATATGTTTGTTAAGTTTGATTAGCTGTGGCAGATATCTTTCCTTTGAGCGACTGCAGCAGTTAACGAGTTAAAGATATGCATCAAATGGTTGTTGGCAGAGAGTTTTGTCAAATTGTGCCCTGTAGTTCATGAGATATTTTGCTAACAGACAAACATGTTTGACACCAATAATTAATACCAAAGTTTTTGGATGCTGCACAATGCTTAGATGGCCAATGTGTTTGTGATGATGCTCAGCTACTGCCACTAACATCGGTAACTTAATACGACTGAGTTATTTGTGTATTTGCCACGCGCAATTAACTGTAGCAGCCATCTTTAATTGGGGTTACTTCAAATGTTAATAAGATTGCAGACATGTTCCTGTTTTTAGTTTTCTACATTCGCCTTAGAATCTAGCTGTTTTCGTTACCTTTTTTTTTAATCCATCCTATTTGTTAAAAAAAAAAAAAAAACGAGTATGACTTTTTATAACTGTCTATTGTTGTCGTTGTTGTCCATTGTTGTCATCATTCTTTGTTGAAATCAGGTCTCTCTTGTAAATGAGTCCTCGAGGCTCAATGGGATTTACCTGTCTAAATAAAAGTTGAATGAAAAAAAGTTGTCTATCTACACCCAATAATCAATACCGGAAAGCTTCATAATAACTTATTCAATTCATGAGATGTTTTGCTAATACACAAACAGAGTTGATTGTAATAATTATTGGCAAAGTTTTAGATTCTCTTTTGTTTTCAAAGTAAAGGATGGCTCAACATTTGTAGAACTGGGTTATTTTATTTTATTGATCTCTAGATAACCCCAAAGAGCTCTACAGTGATTGGTCTGAATGACTATCGGCCAGTGGCCCTCACCCCGATAGTCGCTAAATGTTTCGAAAAACTGGTCATGACCCACATCAAAACAACCATCAACATCAACGAGGACCCTCATCAGTATGCATACCGTGAGAACAGATCAACAGAAGATGCCATCTCCTCTGTGGTCCACACTGCGCTCAACCACCTGGAGCAGAAGGACTCCTATGTCTGTATGCTCTGACTTCACGTCTGCCTTCAACACCATGATCCCCAAACCGTGATGGACAAACTAGTCACACTAGGACTAAGCCCCTCCATTTTCAACTGGGTACTAGACTTCTTAACAAACAGACCACAGTCAGTGAGGATCCACAACTTCTCCTCCTCCACCATAACCCTCAGCACTGGCTCCCCTCAGGGATGTGTGTTGAGCCCTCTCCTGTTTACTCTGCTCACATATGATTGTGCATCTACCCATCCAGGCTGTCATATTGTAAAGTTTGCAGATGATACAGCGGTGGTGGGATGCATCACAAAAAAAATGATGAGTCCAGCTACAGGCAAGAGGTGGAACACCTGGAGAGCTGGTGCAAGGAGAACAACCTTCACATCAATGTGAAGAAGACGAAGGAGATGGTTGTGGACTTCGGAAGGAACAAACACCTCCCGAACATAAGAGGATCTGCAGTGGAAGTGGTCTCCAGCTACAAGTACTTGGGGGTGCACCTGAATGAAAACCTCAGCTGGAGCAACAACACCACCAGCCTGATCAAGAAAGCTCATCAGAGACTCTACTTCCTCAGACGGCTGAGGCGAGCTGGTCTGGGAAGCTCAGTCCTCACCTCCTTCTACAGGTGTGCAGTGGAGAGCATCCTGTGCTCCAGCATCAACGTGTGGCATGGAGGCTGCACAGCTGCAGAAAGAAAAGCTTTGCAGAAAGTGGTGAAGGCTGCACAGAAGTCTGTTGGAGTCAGTCTCCTCACCATCACAGACATCTACACCTCCAGATGCAGGAAGAGGACCACCTGCATCATGAAGGACCCCACTCACCCAGCACACACACTTTTTGCCCCGCTCCCCTCAGGAAGGAGGTTGAGGAGCATTAAATGTAGAACCACTAGACTGAGGAACAGCTTCAACCCTGAGGCTGTTAGACTCATGAATCTCTAACTAGAATAATCACTGTGAGAAAAAAAATCACATCATGTTGCTGCTGATCAGTTTCATGTTGCTGTGTTCATGCGTGCTCATCTGCTTACACAGACTCGTGTTCGTGCTGCTGTTCGATGTATTGTTTCATGCTACTAGTGCTTATAATATTTTTAGTTAACATTTATCTTAGTTCATATATCCTGATGCATGCTCAATAATCCAGGTAGAAAAATCCAAAAAAGTTCAATCTGGTCCTCTGGACATTCAAAATAAATAAATAAATAAATAAACACAAAAATACACAAAACACAAAACCCCCCACAAAAATACAGCACCTCAGACTAAGGAAGTCTCTCGGATGAGAGACGAAACATTTATATATTTTTTTGCTTTTTTTTTGTTTTTTTTGAATGTCCAGAGGACCAGATTGAACTTTTTTGGATTCGTTCATATAGCTCTTATTACTGTTTTTCCTTTACATCTTGTACTTTTAATGGATGTAACTGGGACCCTGTGTACACAATTTCGTTCCACCACATGTACCGCATGTGGTGTGTTTGACAAATAAAGAACCTTGAATACTGTGTTGCACTTGAAGTAGCCAAAGTGTCGGGGACAATGCTCAGCTACTACCACCTCAGTTTATTGCAGTCAAACAGTGATAATAAAACGTGGTGTGAAACAGCTTCTTCGACTCGTGTCTGGTCTGAATCGATCCAACTGGACAGCAGGCGGATCAATCTATCGTGATAAAATAAATAAATACAATTCAGATGAGAGAACATGCATTTGCATGCAAACCCCCCCCCCCCCCCCCAACACATCTGATTAGGCTGAATCAGGTGATCATGATAAAGCATTACAGCTCTGTGTCAGCCTGGGAGAGACACAAGGTTCTCTCTCTATTGGGGGGGACTGAACCCCCCCCCCCCCCTCCCCTTTTTTACAGCATTTCTATTCCTCACTCTGATTCTTTCGCCTTGTCTTCTGCGCCAAACCCCCAACCTCCCCCCAGAGCCTCTACGCCTCTGTCTAAGCTGGCTCCGTCTGTATCAGTTGAGACACTACACTTCTTAAACCCCAGCTGGGGGGAAATACGGTGGCTTGGTGGGGGGAGGGTTTCAAAAGGGTAAGTGATTGCCCTCTAGGGGAAGAAGCAGAGAGAGAGAGAGAGAGAAGCAGGACGCCTTATCGCCTCAGACTCCAATAGCACTGCTGGCTACCACCCTAGAGCCGGGGGGGGGGGGGGGGGGGGGGGGGGGGGGGGGGGGGGGTAGAGCTGGAGACGCCAGCTAGAAGCCACACTGCCTCTTGACACAGCAAACTCAGCAGGGTGCCTTCCATCCAGTGTTGGCGCAGTCAGGCAAATGCTCCCCTCTGAATGAGCGTTCCACATGAGCAGCCAGTCAAATTGCTTAAAATCACCCCCCCCCCCCCAAAAAAAAAAAATAAATAATTCAAATGTTTGCTATAATCGATGCATTTGATTTTTTTTTATAAATTGCACACTTGAATGAAATAATTGTTTTATTGGAGCTATGTTTTCCTCCAGTGGCAGCAGGCTGCAGGTGTAAACAAGAGCCAGAACGCACAGTGCTCTACTGACCTACTTCCCTCATTCAACTGGGAGACATGGGAACAAACACAACAAGCACCACACTAGATTAAAATATATATTTAGATATATTTGACAGCATTTTTCCCCACATATAAATGTGTGTAAAATGGGAGAGAGAGAGAAAAAAAAAGCAATTTAAAGCTTTGCTTTTTTTTTTTAGCTGTTAAAAATGTAAGATTTATTGGCGTCCTGGCGCCTCCGACAGTGTCCAAGCGCCACCTTCAGTATTCAACCTGAGGGTGGGAGGAAAAAAAAAAAAAAAGCTTTCATTATTTTTCCTCATCCGGATACATCTGGAAAACAATATGTGTCCATCTGAAAAATAAATGTACCTATTTCACGCGGAAGTAAAGCAATAAGGAAAGAGGAACGTTTTGGTTTGTGCGCCTCTCACGAGCGCCTCGCGCTTCCTGTTTAATATGCTCGTCTCGCCCGGCGTGTTGTCCCAGACGCTGTGTATCACAAATCCCCACCTCCACTCCAACCAGAGCACGGAGGGGAGGAATAAAAAGGGTTAACCGGAGTCTTTGGATGGATTCAGCCGGGGCGGAGTGGAAGGGACGTGATTGGGCAGCGCGCCGTGACGCAGGGGACATGAAAAAGCTGATAACTAGTTAAGAAGGCAGTTTGTAACTCTGGAAAAAGAGTGCAGAGCTTGAAGAGACACGTTAAGAGGAAGGACGTGAAGAGAGAGAGAGGAAAAAAAAAAAAAAAAAGGGAGGAAAGCTGTTTGAAAGTGCAGCCAAAGGAAGTTTAGGACAATGGTGCAGCACACGGACACCAGCGAGACGGATGGGAGCATGTCCAAAGAGGCCACCGACTCGGAGGAGAGTGAGTTTATGGCGTGCAGCCCCGTGGCCATCAACCCGGACTGGTGCAAGACGGCCACGGGCCACATCAAGAGACCCATGAACGCGTTCATGGTCTGGTCCAAGATCGAGAGGAGAAAGATCATGGAGCAGTCGCCGGACATGCACAACGCGGAGATCTCCAAGCGCCTGGGGAAGCGCTGGAAGATGCTGAAGGACAGCGAGAAGATCCCGTTCATCAGAGAGGCCGAGCGGCTGCGGCTCAAACACATGGCCGACTACCCCGACTACAAGTACAGACCCAAGAAAAAACCAAAGCTCGACCCGTCCAAGTCGTCCGCGCCGTCTCCGGAGAAGTGCGCCAAAATGAGCAAGGCCCCCAGCAAGAAGTGCTCCAAGATCAAGACGAAGAGCGGCTCCAAGGCGACGCACGGCTACGCGGAGGAGTGCGCGTTCCCCGGCTTCAAAGTTGCCAAGGCTGTGAAAAGTGAGCTCACGGACGAGGAGGACGACGACGACTACGAGGAGGAGTACCGGATGGGGGTTCCAGCCGGGGAGGAGGAGCGCCTGAGGCCGTACGGCGTAGCCAAAGTTCCCGCGAGTCCAACTCTGAGCTCCTCGGCGGAGTCCGAGGGGGCGAGCATGTACGAGGAGGTGCGGAGCAACAACAGACTCTTTTACAACCTCAAACACATGTCCAAGCAGGGCGCGCTGCACGCGGCGTCCGTCTCACCAGCATCCTCCAGGTCGGTCTCCACCTCCTCCTCCTCCTCCTCCAGCAGCTCCTCATCCGGGGAGGACGCGGACGATTTGCTGTTTGACTTTAGTTTGAATTTCGCTCAGAGCGCGCCAGGCTCGGAGCTGGGCAACAATTCAGGGAACCTGTCCCTGTCTCTTGTGGACAAGGACCTGGACTCTTTCAGTGAGGGCAGCCTGGGCTCCCACTTTGAATTCCCAGACTACTGCACGCCGGAGCTCAGCGAGATGATCGCCGGGGACTGGCTGGAGGCGAACTTTTCCGACTTGGTCTTCACATATTGACATAAAAATTAAAAAAAAAAAAATCCATCAGAATAAGACGAGTTTTCCTCCATGACAGAGAAGGGAGTTGTGAAATTAAACATGTTTGGCCCCTAAAGTCCTGTGGGTTTCCTGCCTGGTCCTGGATGAGGATGAGGATGAGGACCATGAGCTGAGGTGAGGTTTGAGGAATGATGCTTTTGAAGCTGGTAGAAAAAAAAAAAAGAAGTCTGCAGACTTTTTTTTTTTGTAATAAATGACAGCATGACAGGGTTTTATGGATCCCCCCACCCCCCCTCACCGGTCTGCATTTACTGTTATAACTCAGACCACAAAGGGAGAAATAAGAACTTCTATGCATCTTTTCCTCTTCAAAACAAAACAAAAAAAACCTGCAGGGAGCTGAACTCGGACTGTCTCAAAGAAAAAATAAAAATAAATCTGTGAACTGACATTTGTTCAGGATGCTACTTTACAACTGTTTATGTCTTCTTCTTTTTTTAAAATGCCGCAAATTGTTTTTGTCTTTTATTTTATTTTTTATTTTTTTATATATATAACTGGTTCAGTTTACCTCCTGGTTTTTGGGAAGAAAAAAAAAATAATAATAATAGCAGCTGAAAACCTCTGCAGATTTACAGGTGCAGAGGGAACATTTTTGATACATAACAGACCTCATCTTTTTAAAAGAAAAAGATATTTTCAGGCATATTTTTGTACAGTTTAACAAAAGGGAATGTTCTTACTGTGCTTTCAGTGAGTTTTCAGGCACTTCTTCCCTTTATCGTTTGTTTTCTAGCATGCAAGGGAGTCCTGGTTTTAAGGATTAAGTTAAATTAAGACTTGCATCAAAAATGCCTTGTGGTTTATAGGTTTTTTTGTACAGTTGTAGAGCAGATTTGTTGAGTATTTGTAGATGATACAATGGCATCATGGGGGGACACATACCTCAGAGCTGGAACTAGTTTCAAGATTGTATATGTATTGTAATATAGTAAAGTTAGGAGTTTATGTATATCATACTCGTGATATGTGGATGGGTCCCGATCGCAGGTGTGAAACTGGATTTTTTTGGTATTTTTTATGGCACATACTGTTCCCCCCCTTTTTTTTTTTTGTTCTCATTTTTTGTGCAATATATACTCTTAAGATACAGACCATCAACAATTGTAGCAAGTGATGGAAAAACAGACTCGTGCACTGTCAACATCATTTCATGTTATGATGCTGAAGCCTGTCCGGGCAGGAAAAGAAACAAATCAGCTGGAACTGATACAAAACAACGTACTATAGCCTCGTGGTGCGGTGCATTCGATTACAGATTGGTATTACTATTTGACACGTTAAATCACAATAAATGGGCATGCATGAAATCTTTAGTGGAAATAAAATAAAATTAAAAAGTTTGGCTAAAATAAAAGGGCATATGATACAGTGGCCTGGCTTTTAGTTTGAACAAGCAAGCAAAAAAAAAAAAAGAACATTCCATAGTCCTGTTTCATGAAATGAAACTTTTATTTTGAAACTGAAGACTGCCTTCTTTTTTTAAGACATTTACCACAAACCTGTATTTTTTATTTCTTGCACTTAAAAAAAGAAAAAAAAGGAGAAAAAAAGCAGATATTGTTTATTTTTATGTGGGTCTTACATATGAAGTTTGTTTGATTCAAAGGTTTTGGAATATAGCCTAATTATATGCCGAGACATTTTGTTGGGAAGTTCTAGGCAGTAGTGACTTCACATTCCAGGTGTGGATCTGTCTTTGACTTAACTTTTTAATAAATGAGTACCTACCACCGTCGACTGTCCTTTCAGTTTGTGAATATATGTACACAGATGTGTTATTATTTGCGTTTGGAAACAATGTGATGACAGAATGATGCCTATTTTGTATGTAGGCGGATACTCTTAATGAATGGGCTCCAACTACCCTGTGAATTCACATTTAATAAAAAAGAAAAAGGAAAACGTTTGAACTGCAGTGCTGAGGTGCTTTACTGTTCTCTGTTCCTTTTTTTTTAATTTTTTTTTGGGGGGGTGCTTTCACAACAGAAGCTGCACGCTGCGTCTTTAAAAACTTGAATTGCCCGCTTTGCAGGCGGCCGGCGCTGTGATTGGTTGTCTGGCTGGTCCCCTTGGAAACAGGAGCTGCTGCACTCAGCATGTGGGAGCTCTTAGTCTGTCTGGCTTTCATTCAGAAAACGAGCGCCGTGCACAGAACCAGAGGAAAAGCCCGAAGATTGCATGGAAGAAAAACAACAACAACAACAAAAACGTGGCTAAATGCAACGAGTCAGATAAAAGCACATCTGTGGGAAGTCGTTTAACAAAAATGGGATTCATGCATTAAAGCTAATCTAAAGGGGATCGTGCAGCACTAATAAGTTGTACATGCAAATGAAAAAAAATACGGCTCAAATATGTATATTTCTACATTTTCAAATAGTTTTTTTTTTCCTTGAAATGTCCATTCTAATAACAAAAATGTATATTATTACAAGAAAACGCCTAAAAAGCAGCCCTTTTCCACACGCCTTTTAACAGAAGTGGCAGAATAAAATGGTTAAAAAGAATATTATTTCAACCAAACGTGTAGTTTTTATCAGCTAAAATACAGCCATGTTGTCCTGTTGTGTCTGTTTTTTTTTTTTGTTTTGTTTTGTTTTTTATCTGAGCAAGATAAATAAGGCCCAGCCATGATGTCATCCGAAATATTAATAGCACAACAAGCAGTAATTCACGGTGATTGCATCTTCACGGTGCTGTGGGCCTGGGAGCCTCTGGAGGGCCACAGAAGCAGGCCTCCACTTCCTCAGAGGCTTGTTTAGAGACCCACCGTCACCCCCGGTGCACATTAAGAACCGAGGCTGCAGCCACCGACATGTTTACGTTCAGTGCAGCCCCAGAATCCAATGATGAATACTCGCCATGCACGGCTGCCAAGGTAGGATCCTCCCCATTAAGTCAGTTTGCAAATCTGTAATAAAACATTTATCTAGCTATTACTTTACCTGACCTATTGGTCAAAGTTGCTAATGGGTTCCAGGTCTATTCCCAGTTGAATCTCAACATTGATTTTGTGCTCCTCTGAAATATTGGCTCGGGGCTAATGCCACCGGTACACGTTGAAATGAAATTAGCGACCCATTGAAATTTCCTTCTATTTCCGCCTGAAATAAACAAATGCCGAGCAGAGCAGTGAGGTACTGTCTTTCAAGGTTGCCAGATTCATGCCCGCCAGTTGGGGGGCGGGTCGCTGTGGCTGAAAGTAATTTCCAATTCCTTGAACGTTTAAATCATTCATACAAGCTTTGGATGCTACATTCAAATGTTGGACGTGACATCTGTGCAAAGACCCCTGCTGCTGCACCGAGCTGAGACATAAACCCCTCCGTGACTGGGCCCCGTCCAAGCATGGAGGTTAAATCCAGTAATAATAAGGCCTGTTATGATTTCCTCTCATCTACTTTTTTTTTTTCCCCCAATTTGAATCTCACCCAGAGAGCTCAGAAGCATTACATCACTGCTCAGCTTATGCCACTGCGCAGTAGGGCGCCGTGTTGTGTCATCGTTGATCCACATGTGTTCCTCCTCTCCCAGTGGGAGACGGTCTGATAGTGCTGTGGGAATACTCATATATACGGTAAAGTCACGCCTTCATAACAACAACACTGCTCGCATTCACTGAATCGGTTATGGTGTTTACTGATGAACGGGGAAAAATTCATGCAATCCACTTTGGACGCTCTGATTTGGATCAGGAAGGTGTTGACACCAGTTTTGGCGGAACAAACCCTTCTATGTTATCCAAACATGGCGTGCTGCTGCGTACCCCAAATAATTTACAGACCCTGCAAGGGTGTGTCAGAGCACTGGATAGAAGAGGCTTGCAACAAGATTTGAATAGATCCAAAAAAAATCAATAACCATAATTACAATTATTGTTGCCCAAAGATGAAGGTGGAGTAATAACAAAAACAAACTTTTTAAGTTAATTTGACATATATTGAGCTAAAATTTGTCGTGGTAGTAACTGAGACTGATCTCTAACATATATTTGGTGCTCTAAAAAAATCACACAAGGTTTTTGTTTAATAATGTGCAATTTTCTGTTTAGAGCCAATTCTGCCTGTCTGTTAGCAAAATATCTTGTGAACCACTGCACATTTTTTTATGAAACTTTCAAGAAATAATCACTGGGTCTACCTTTTTAAATGATTAACTTTTTGAGCCAACCCAATTCAAGAGGACTGCTACAGCCAACCGACCTCATAAAACACAAAATAGGCTATAAAATGGTCAATTTTACAAATATTGTGCTCAGATTTGAAGCAGTTGTAGTTGAGAGTCATTTACAACACATACTCCAAGTGCTGTACATTCACTAGATCCTTGCTTAAAACCTTGACAATAAAAATTGGAGTTAACCCTGTTTGTCTGTTAGCAAAATATCTCATGAACCACCTGACATATTTTAATGAAACTTTCAGAAATGAATTACTGGTTATATATTTACAATTGTTTAACTTTTGGTGTCAATCCATAACAAGATGGCTGCCAGAGCTAATGGATTTCTGCCAACACAAAAGTGGCTATACGTCAGTCAGTCATACAGATATTGAGCTGAAATTTGGTGAGATAAGTCACTCACAACACATACCCCAAGCGCTAACAAACCATGTAAAATCACGTAAGATGCTGTGTGTGATTGCGCATGATGTTATTTTCAAAGGTGGATAATTTCTCAGAATAAGATGGTCTTAGTTTGAAACAAAGGCACGAAAGGTGGCGATACTAGGCCTTTAATGATTTTGTGACTCCAGATGAAAAAACCCCACAGGTTTTCATGTGCTTGAACCATAAAATCTCAAATACAGTGACCTTACACGCACTCATTCCTAACAGGGAGCAGTTTACTGATGGGGAGAACATGGACGGTCTGCCTGAGCAGCAGTCCAGGCCCCGTGTCCTACGTTCCAGTCTTGGCCCGGGGCGACTCCTGCTGCTGTTGATGGCTAGCCATTTGCTC